GAGGCCGGGCTGCGGCGGGCGCAGAGGGCAGGCGTCTAGGCGGCGGGCGCAGAGGGCAGGCGGCGGGCACAGAGGGCAGGCGTCTGAGCACACGCATCGCGCGGTTGCAGACTCACGTCGGCTTCGGGCCTGGAGGCCTCCCAGCCGCGCGCTGATGTTCGGAACCGGCAGCCCAGACTCTGCTCCTCTTGGCGTCATGGCCATGGCCAAGTCCGCTTCTCACTTTGGGAGCGGAAGCTGGCTGGTACCTCCTGCTTCCGTGGTGTTGAGACTGAGGCGTGCCGTGAGGGCTCGGGCTGGACGAGGGCTCGGGCTGGACGCAGACGTAACGTAACGGACCTGAAGGGGCCTGCGGCGCTCCTGTCGCGCCGCGCGTCCTGCGTGTGGGTGTCAGGGCGCCCCCACCTGATTCCTGACGCAGTGCTTTCACCACCTTGTGTCCCACAAGATTTAGCCAGGTAGCAAGCAGCATGTTTTTTTCTCTTTTCCTAGAATCCCTCTGGCCCAAAATCCGAGTTCCATTAAAAGTTTTGCGGACTGCTGAAAACAAGTTAAGTAATCGTTTCTTCCCTTACGACGAAATCGAGACAGAGGCTGTCCTCGCCATCGATGACGACATCATCATGCTGACTTCTGATGAGCTGCAGTTTGGTTATGAGGTAAAGAGGCTTTAAATAGATATTTAATTAAATGTTAAATAGATATTCAATGTTTACAGTCTATTAGCGCATATCTTTTCCAATGAAGAATATTTATTTCTCAGATTCATAATCTCTCTTCGGCTTGAGTCCAGAAGCTCCCCAAACGTATACATATTATGAAACTAGGCTTGAAAACTTTGGGGAAACCTTATCCCCAAATGACAGTTGTGCCCTCCCCTGGAGCACCCCAGGAGACATTTTCAAAAGCGCATCTACAGCATTTAACAAGCGTTTAATTGACGTCTCCTCCAAGAGCACTTCCCCTGACTCCAGCAGCTGGGCCCCGCCACAATAAAAACATCAGTAAGTGAAGAAGCTGGTGACACTGACAGACAGAAAGCAGGCCTGTCGGTGGTTTTCTTTCTGACTTTAAGTGGAGGGGCTGGCCGCCTGTCTTCAGGGAGAAACATTCTCTATCACTGTTCGTTCAAGGCGGCTGATGGATTAGGCTGGGTTCAGGGGTTAAGTATGGAGACCAGGAAGGTCTCCCCAGGGGAAAGTGCCAGAGCCGGGGCCTGGCGCAAAGCAGTAGGAATTGATGAGCTCTGTCCGGAGGATGCGCGCGAGATGCTTGATGGCGACAGGCGGAGGCCGTGGCCGCGGGGACATAATGGCGTCAGACGTCAGCGAAAGGGCGCGTATAAATCAGGTCGCTGCATCTCGCACAGGGCAACATGGAGAAATTAGTCCCCTGAAGTCACCTATTCTTTGGGAGAAAATAGTCATTGTTAATTGTCTCAGATGTATTGAATTTGAGGTTCTTACAAAATCATACTGAGTGAAAGCACTTTTGGGAGAGGTGTTTATTATAGATTTTTTTTTTTATCCCTGAGCCTTAAATTAAAAGTGGGTTTTAGGGTCCCAAACCTGCAGGGTATTGTTTTTCTCCTTCATTGAAAATAAGCAAAATTAGGGCGCTCCCTGGTGGCACATCGGGTTAAAGCATAGTACTATGAACCTGGCCCATTTCGCTTTAGCCGGAGTTTGATTCCCTGC